GAGGAGGTGTTTTGGAGGGAGTGAGACAACCTTTTATCACCCCACCGATTGAAGAAAGTTTTGTCTTTCCTGATCAAATTCAGCATATTTTGACGTTTTTATTTATTTTCAGTTTAAGGCCACGCGTCGTCGAAGTTTACACCTTTTTAGGGGCTAAATTGCGAAATCGTGGGAATCCGAAAGCTTAAGTTAATTGTCCGCCTTCCCCACCCTCACTCTCTCCATTAGAGCCCGATAGAAAAGTGTTGATGACTACAGCTCCTTTTTTGATCCTTAGTTGTATGGTGTGAAAGGTGCCCATCACTCAGCCAAGAGGTTAACACGCCTTCGTGACATACAAGAAGTACCGGAGTTCAATATCAACAGCGCTTCCTCTCCTCCCTAAAAGTGTTTTTAGTGAAGCCAATGCGCATGCTCTACTCGATATAAACACCTGTCCGCTCTTGCGCAAGAATTGTTTTCACTTAGTCAAGTTGACGCAATAAACCTGGAAATTTCCAGTTGATCTCGTGGAATTCAATTTACGTTTAATTATCTCAAACGCCATTTCACAACGGTCTCCATAGCGAGCTAGTGTTTTTGTTGAATGGAACAATTAAGAAGTTTCCAATACAGCTGTATCGAGGTAGTCTTGGATAAAAGGAAAAGTAATTTGGGAATCATTACATATTATGACATTTTTGTTTGAGGTACCGGTTTGAAAATTTTTTTCTTTAAATAAAACGCAGGAATAAAAAGCATCATAAGTTGGGTGATTTTATATTCGCCTGTTTCGAGACTGGCTCTGAAAAAAAATAACCTTATCATCATCAAGACAGAGAAGTTGAATGTATAATTTCATAGGTGACAAATTTATCCTTAATTTTGGCGCGAAATTTCAGCGTTAATTTTTAATTTCACATGTGAAATTACAAAATTGCCATGGTAACATCTTTTGTATCTCGATCAGAGCCAAGATGGCGTCGAGATTTGAGAAGGTGACCCTTGAAGAAGTTACGAAATTAAAAGAGGCGGCCGAAAGATTATTAACAGGCACGAGGAATTCGAAAGGTATTTTTTGTGAAGAAACTCAGAAAATTACGAACTTTAACAATAACGTATGCTTTAAACGAAAACTATGTTCTTCTTCATGTTCTCGGTTTTCCATAGAATAAACCAATAAAAACAATTACGTATGTGTCGGTAATGTGTTGGTAACCTGTCGGCCGACAGTTGACCGACAGGTTGCCGACAGTGACCGACAGGTTGCCGACAACTGAAAATGAGGACTATTGGTCGCTATTACCAATTTTTTTAACATCAACTCACTGGGATTGTCTGAATTTAAGCATTCAGTATATAAAAAGCTTCTAGCCTTGACCAATTACAGAAAAGCAGTTTTAAATTGAGTGTCGAAAGAAATCCGAGATCGCTTTGCTTTTGCTTTATTTCGTTATGCGATTGGTCTAGAAAACTCGCGCCATTTTTTCTCAACCAATCAGGTTGTAAACTAAAACCATTCGCAACTTGCAATTGGTCGCCAGCATTTCTTCACGCTTTGGGCAGTTTCCTTGATTTACCTCTTATTCTCTTTAGCCCTTTCAGGTTTTTTCCTTCTCTTGGCCAATGTTTCATATTAATTTGGTTTTGGTTTTTACTTTACTCGATGGACTTAAGCGTTCTTCTTCTAAACTGGTTTCAATAGACTCCTCTGCTTAATGTGAAAGGAACACAAGAGCTCTAAACGCGAAGCACCTGCTTTGGAAATGATGTTAACTTTCCTAAGAGATCTTTGTCAATTACCACATAAACTTACAACTTTGTTCAGCCTTTGGTTATTTCGTTCATTTTCAATAGTTAAGCATTGCAATAAAATAGAGACTTGGAATTTTTTTTTTATTTGAAGAACTTTGCAATACGAAAGAAATGCTAAACATCTAAGACTTAGTCACTTGCAATGAGTTGACGAATCATTTCACTTCTGTCGTGTGGGAATGGGGCAGTGAGAAGGGGGTGGTTAGCCGTGCTTTCTTTCTTAAAATCTCATTCTGCAAACGAGAACGATTTTCTTCAAGTTGTAAGATACCTTCCCTGAGGTTTGGTGACCTCAATTTACCCTCCCACCCTTCCCTCTTTATAATAAAACGCTCAGTCCTAAAGAATTTTATTTTAGTGTGGTTTATGTGAAAAGCAGACCATAAAAATAGCTTCGCTTTCAAATTTCCTGTCCAAAATGCTGGTGGAAGTTTTTGGTTCACTTTCTCTCCTTTGGATCCCCTTGGCACTCTTCCGGGGACTTCTGATGGCGGCTCAGCTGCGTTGATTGCGAGAACGTCATATGACATTTTTCGCATTTAAATGGTTTCTCTCCCGTGTGCGTGCGAATGTGATTGTTTAGTGTCGTTGCACCGGCGAATGAGCGACCACAGAATCCGCATTTAAATGGTTTCTCGTTTATGTGGATGACAACGTGTTCCCTCAACTCTGCTGGGCCTGGAAACGATGAAGGGCAGTGCCCGCACTGGTAGGGGCGATCTGGTGACTAAACGGGACAAAGAGTTCACAAGGTATCAGTGAGTTTATTTTGATAGTAATAAATATTTCCATCTTTCTGCGTGGAAACTTTCTCCCC